AGTTTATTATTTTAAGGTTAGATAAGGTTAAGACAATTTCTGGGCCAAGCACTGGAGCTAGGACATGCTAGGGGGCCGGGCGCTGCGGCCACATAACCAATGATATCCATGCGTTACAACTGAGATCTATATACAAAATTGATAGGAGTCGAGGGGTTACAAATTCTCTAGCAAATTACCCAACTGCCTTGTGTTATTGTGCGGGACAATATTTTTTTTGTCGGGATTCCTACTTTTTGGTTTGTTTATTTAAGGTTTAAATTCAAGTTTTTACTCCCTCACAAACAAACCAAAAAAGTAAAAATCCCAACAAACACAGATTGGGTAATATCCTTGAGAACTATATTAGGACCTCGGAACAAATAAGAAACACTTTATACCCGAGATCATGAAATTGCGAGTATAAATGCGGGATAAAAATTCTTTCAAAACTGAATAAAATTCATGTTAAAGAAAAATTTACTTTATGTACCTGTTATTGCTTTGAATTTTTCAATCTTTTTTATTTTAGTTTGTGATAAAACTTCCTCCTCCATTTTTATAATCCCAAACTAGAATTCACAGCTAATTGACCCAAATATTGGGTCTGTCCTAGTATACGATTTTAGGAAAACGTAGATCTTACAAAGATGTAAGACTAACCTGCTTTGAGCGTATCTCCTGACCGGATCTACCCCGACCACTCTCTAATTCGAGATCCTGACGACATTGACATTTTTAAGTGATCGGAAACAATTAAAATGATTTTCTAAAATTATTTCAACAGAAAATATTTATACTTTTGGGAAAAACTAGATTTTTTTTCTTGGCAAAACCCCAACCCTTTTCCTGAAAATAAAGTATTAAAGGTGTGTATGATTTTCCCATTAGTTTACATGAGGGGTAATCTACCGGCTACCCCTAAAAGATTATTTTTAAATATCAAAAACTATCAAAAACTACCTTTACTTCTGAGGTGGACTCTGGACGATGAACTTCCTGCTTGACAAGCCGATGATGCTCATCAACAACTATATGATGATCCTCATCTAGATGGTCTTGATCAACTAGATGGGCTTGATCCACCAGTTGGTCTTGATCAAACAATTCCCCGGAATCTCTGAGTTTGATAAGATCTTCATTGCCTAGGATTAAGATGAATTCAGAAGATAGTAAGAAGGAATAATTCCAATCTTAGACTATATAGCACTTTAAGAGAATCAGGGAAATGACCTTATCAGAAGTTAGTGTAATATATGGTTTATAATTTATATTTTATAAAATGGAGAGGAAGAGGGAGGAAGTCAAGGGAAAATACATGGATGCTTATGCCTTAAAAGGGGAAATGTATAATAAATATTATTATGTAGTTAGCATGGATTCTAAAATTGGACAACTTATTCTTTTTCTAGGCTAGCTGTAACCGACATAATATGAACAATAAGTTTTTTTTTTAATGCCGAATCTGAATATTCCGTTTATTTTAATGTTTACTCCAAACAAATATGTAAATGGTTTTTTTTAAATCCTACCATGTTGTACTCCTAGTAGTTTAGATATACTGTACACTGAGGTTCTAGCCTCAACATCATCTGGCAGATTTCCAGTGTACAAGCTGTACATGAACTCTCTGGACAAATTTTTTAGTTTTCATGTGTGCAAGTTGAACATAAACTTTTTAAACAAAATATTTAAATTTCCCGTGTACATGTTGTACATGAACTCTCTAAACAATATATTTAGTAGATATCCCCTGTACAAGCCGTACATAAACTCGTTAAAACAATAAATTTAGTAGATTTCCAGTGTAAAAGTTGTGTAGTACATTTCAAGTGTACAAGTTGTAAATAAAATCTCAAACAAAATATTTAGTAAATTTCCAGTGTACAAGTTGTGCAGTAACTATCTAAACAATAAATTCAGTACATTTTCCGTGTACAAGCTGTAAATAAAATCTCTAACAAAATATTTAGTAGATTTCCAGTGTACAAGCTGTATACAGTAACTATCTATACAATAAATTCAGTACATTTTCCGTTAACAAGCTGTAAATAAAATCTCAAACAAAATATTTAGTAGATTTCCACTGTACAAGCTGTACAGTAACTATCTATACAATAAATTCAGTACATTTTCCGTGTACAAGCTGTAAATAAAATCTCTAACAAAATATTTTGTAGATTTCCACTGTACAAGCTGTACAGCAACTATCTATACAATAAATTCAGTACATTTTCCGTTTACAAGCTGTAAATAAAATCTCTAACAAAATATTTAGTAAATTTCCAGTGTAAAAGCTGTACAGTAACTACCTATACAATAAATTCAGTACATTTTCCGTGTAAGACTAACATAAACTCTTGTAATAATATATTCAGTACATTTTCCATGGACAATTTGTACCTTAACTATCTAAATAATAACAAATTATAAAAATTTTCAAAAAAAAAGTAATATTTAATGAAGTTTCATGCAGAGAGGTTACATTTAAAGGATGGAAATTGGTTAAAAAAAATTCTGGATCCACTAAAAGAAAAATGGATCCGGTCATGATTTTTTTCAAGATTTATTGTTTTTGAAGAAATGATAAAATTTTCATATTTTTTTGTTGCTATTTTTCATGCCAACACTTTTTACGGGTTCGCGTCAAGAAACCAAAATGTCACGGATCCAACGGATCCTAAGCACTGCCCCAGGCCCCTGGCATAGCATTATTCAGAAGAAAAAAGGGAAAATACCTTATCTGTGAACTGGATATCTCGGGTAGAAGAATAGTTATAGATTCCTCATTACAGTCCTGCCTCACCCCACTACAATCATAGTTTAGGTTAAAAAGATAGCAAAGCAATGTCTGATTTATAACGATACCCTTAAAACCTTAATCTGATAAAAAAAACATTGCTATGTAATTCATACTTGATCAGTCAAAGCTTTCAAGGGTACCGTTGTAAATCGGTCCTGTCAACTTTGCATGAAGGGTTAATTGAAATTACACTTACAGTCCCTTTAAATGAATTGTTAATGAATTTTACATCAGAGAGCGAACAAATAATGAAAACTTGCACAGAAATTGTTGAATTTTATTTTTTTAATGTGGAACTTTGAAAATAAAAAATTTGACAGTAAACATTAAATAATGCTAAGTGGTGTCCCCTCTTTAGCAAGAAGTATCTTTTATGCAGTGAGAACCAACCAAAAAGTAAAATTACTTAAAATCTTTGATTTCATCAAGACAGATCACCAAGGTTTTAGTAATTTACGTCAAAACTATTTTTAAAATAGTTCTCTGAACTTTTATAAATATATATCAAATGCCTTATTTTCAAATCAAAAAAGAAAGAACTTAGTCGACATTTATTATACAGTTTTATGGTCCTTATTGTAAGTTAATGATTAAACTTTAAACTCTTTAAAAATAAATCTTTTTAAGACGCATTCGGTGTAATTTCAGGGGAGTAAAGTTTCAAATTGTATTTTTGCCCAAACCTGACACAGTTGGGAACTTTCTTCCCCTGACTAGTTGTTAAAAATGAACCTGAGTATCCCGGCAAGGACTGGAGAGACATGAGCCAGTATAAGCTGATGTCCTGAAACTAGTTCTCCATCTGCCCCCTGGAGATGAACATCCACCAGCAGCTCCTTGCTCATAAACATCGTCAACATGTTGGAGAGGCGCTGGTACCAGGGAGGGAATATTTTAGTGTTTGCTAGTTCATCCTCGTCCTCATCCTCATCCTCCTCGTCCTCTACTGTGATCTCAATTCCGTCCTCATTCACCATTACCTGACAAGGCAAAAAGACGTCATAAGTTTCAGGATTAAATTAATTTGTCAAAATTATTTTGAGTTTCATAATAACTATCTATTCCCCGGAATGTTTTTCCATCAAATATTCGGGGGTTTAATTCAAAGAAAACACAATACTTTTTTATTTGTCCAGATCTATTTATTTTTGTAAAACTTAAGGACTGACTTAACTGAAAATTTTCCTACCTGAGGACTAACTTGATGGATGAGTAAGTCTTCTTGATGAACAAAGTCCTCCTGGTCTTGTTCAAGATCCTGTTCATCTAGTCCTAAACACTCCTTTTTTTCTAAGCACAAATCCAATCAAATCCAATTAAATCCAATCAAATCCAATCAAATCCACAAATCAAAACAAATCAAATCAAAACAAATCAAATCAAACTTTACCAGATCAAAACAAACCAAACCAAACCAATTTAAATCGCTGTCTTAAATTCTTAAAATCACAATTTCACAACAAATTGTTGATAATCCATATTTACCAATTTTAGCATGTAAAAAGACCGTTCTATTATTGACTATGCAATGGATTGATGGGTCTGGTTACCTTCATGTTGAATTTGACCGGCATGCAGCAGCGCTAGCTGTTCTTCTAAGGTCAACCTTTGGTTTTCCTGCAATAATCACTCAGTTCATATTTCTAAAATTGTTAAAAATGGTATCGCCCCCTTTCAGTTTAACATACTTTAAAAATAAAAAAATATTTTTTATTACATTTTGTAAAATCTAAAGGCAACAATAACAAGAACCCTTACATGTCCCATAATTACTTTGTCCAACAAAAATATCCATGTGCTTCTATTCTCTTTATACCTGAATCATGAGATTCTGTCTCTCCATACTATGCTCGATGTTTTGTCGATCCAAACCAGGATCATTTGCTCGATCCAAACCAGGATCATTTACTCGATCCAAACTGTTCCTTGAGATCTGATCCAACCTGGTTCCCTTGTGTTCTCCAGGTGGAGGTTTAGAGTAGAAGAACACGTCCTGGTTTTCCAGAGGACTGTCAGCAACCTGAAGCCAAGGATTTGACGAACAGAAAAATAGAGTCAAAGTCATAAGAAAGATGAGAAAATATGAAGATTTAAACTATTCTTTATTTCATGTCATTTTCTAAAAATCTTCTTATTTCTTGTCATTTTCTAAACTCTTCTTATTTCTAGTCATTTTCTGAAAAATTCTTAGTTTTTTTATTTTCTGAAATCTTCTTACTTTTTGTCATTTTCAAAACTATTCTTAATTTTTGGCATTCTTAGTTAATATCATTTTCTAAAATATTCTTAATTTTTGACATGTCTGAAATATTCATAATTTTTGTCAGTTTCTGTAGGAAACGTTAGTTAAAAAACCTACAGCCACAAGTTCGTAACTTTTAAGATAATATTTCAACCATTGATTTTAACATACAAGTTAAAAGGAATTCATTGTATGGCAAAAGGTTAACTTAAAAGAAGAGTCACTTTTATGTAAAAATAATACACTACGAAGTATGTATTGGCGCAGAATTTCTTCTGGAAAGTTATTGAGGCTTAAATCTTCCAATCTGTGCACATCCTTGAAGTCATCTCTGGATTTTTATCTGACTGCCACATCTCTTTATAATAAATTCCAACCTGGAGAATAGAAATGTGACTAGAGTAGTTGGATTGCTGGAGCTCTAACCCGATGTGGGACGGAAATGTTTTCTTTCTTCTTCCATCCTCACTCAATCTCCGGTCCTTTATACGTTTATCGTCCTCACTCCGCCGTTTCCATGATTTATCTCCGCCTTGATCCTCCGCCTTGGTTTCAACCTCCTCCCGGCTTGATTTATAATGTTCTGCCTCGCTCCGAGGTTTAGAAATACAATGTCTGTCCTCAATCTTCAATACAAGGTTGTCATGTTCAGTTTTATCACTTTTCAGTTTAGTTTCATCTTCTCCAAGTTCAGTTTTACTTTTATAATTTCTAGGCTCATTCTTTTTTGTGTCCGATCCTTCTTTATCTTTTACTGTTCTACTTTTTAACTGTTCGCTAGGAGAAGTAATTTTCTGCCCAAGATGAGTCTCCTCGGAAATAACATTTTTTTCTACAGTCGGAGAAACTTTGTGAGGTGGGCGTTTACTGAAAAACGAAATGTTTATTAACTTTTATAAATTCCAAATTTATGGGTTTGTTTTATATTTGAAGACAGGAAATAAGATGTCAATTTGTAAACCGGCAGGATATTTTTAAATCTCACATTGTTCCCATGAAAACTGGAGAAGTTGAGTAGTTTAATTTCTTTCTATGCAATCTTTATCAAATCAAGCGTAAATCTGAATAGGGATCCAATGTGAATCCCCAATTTGCCCTCAGGGCACTAAGCACCACCACGCCGATAGAAGCCAAGTCTAGGCTGTGGTCTTGGTNATCATTAAAAATTCATTTTAGATTCAAAACGATACGTTTAAACCCTTCGTCTGAGAAAAAATGATGAACATCTCCTTGTTTTTTTTTCTAGGAAATTAAACAGAATTCAATACTTTCTAAGAGTGAAAAACGACGATATCTTCCTCATTGTTACGAAGATAAAGATAATCATCGTAGCGTTGTATTTCGGACATACATGAAGTTGATTTGGTGGGGAGTTTGCTTTAAATATCGTTCATTGTTTCTTAAATATGAATCCTTGAGTACCTTTTTGAGTTCCCGATTGTCGCAATCTCTTCTCCCTCCTCCGTCCTAACCTTCTCATCCGTCCTAACCTTCTCCTCCAGGTTTTCTTTGTATTTAGCCGGAGCCTGGATCGACCGGCCTGACCGGCTTAATCTCATTTTTATTCTCTGAAATATTATTGTTTTATAATAAACCCTGTTCTAGGGGGAACCCCGGCAGCTAGGGCTTGCTTCCAGTCAGCTGTTTCGTAAAATTTTAGCAAGATTTCAAATATCTGAATTAAAATCTTTACAGAATTGAACAACTTTAATCTTAAAGGGACTGTAAGCGTAATTTCATGTAACCCTCCATGCAAAGATGACAATGCCCGAGTTAGAACAGTACCATTTCCAGCACTTTAAAATGCTACATCTACATAATTTTTTATATTTTAAACAAAAAGTGAAACAATAAATGTAATTTTTCACAATGAAAGCTTTGTATGATAAAGTATGAATTTGTTTATTTAGACTATTCATTTTCAAAGAAGAAGGTTTCTCTGCAAAAATGCTCATGAGGAACAATAGAAAATATTAGAATTAACACTTTTTAAGTCAGAAAAACGAGGTTATCTTATTTTTGATAAATTGAAGTTTCAAGGGTACCGTTGTAAATCAGACATTGCCATCTTTTCATGGAGGGTCACTTGAAATTACGCTTCCAGTACTTTTAAGATAAACAGACCCAATTTTATTGTAGGAACCATATGTGGTACCAGTGGTGCAGGTTAATAATAATATCCGGAATAGATTATAAAATATTTTCCAATTTTTAAGTTCATTAAAAAATATTAAAGAAAATCTGCGATATGTTATACATAATGTACTAATAAAAAATGGTTATCCTGGAATAAAGTATCTGTAAATGTTTCCTGGTTAATTGTAAGAATTTGTTTATAAGTTCCAGTCTCCCCTCTCTCCATAAACTCATCTATTGGTAGTTTATAACACTGCAGGTTTAAACTCTGGCATAGATTTAGGGAAACCTGAACAATTTGTGGATTAGAGGTTGTTAAAGAGCAGCTTGAAGGATGAGCAGTTGATAATATACTCAAACAGAAGACAGAATTATCCTCGTTATTCTGTATGCCACAACCCAGGATCACGGTAATGACAGGGTAGGAGATGCAGGCGTGGTTAACAGGAGACCAAATAAGATGGTCAGTTATACTCACACTGTCCGTACTATCTCTCATCAGGGGTGGTGGCCAAATTATCAGAACACCATGTTCTACTAGAGTGCCAAAGTGATATGAATGAAATCGTTACAACGTCCCCCAATATCCATTAAACTCTCCAGGATCGGAGGTTGGGGAGGATGCAGGAGTCCTACAGCTGCAAGTGGCATCATATAACAGCCTCACTGTAACATCCAGGTAGCTACTGCTTCACATCTCATTTGTGATTAAAGGGTACACCTTCGCCAATCTGTTGAGTGGCTAGTCCGAATCCGGTGTGTACCTGCCTTGATTGATTTCCATTGGAGTAGGGGGAATGAGACCAGGGTGCCGGATTGACCGGGTTTTGGAATCATCCCCTGACTGCGACCATTACTTCGGAAGGCGGTCTGGGGATCTTCTTTTCTCTTATCTCTTATGACCCCAATCTTACTTTTCCTATCTTCCCAGCCCATCTATCCCATCCGTCTCATTCAACGATTCCTTTCTTCCCAGCCCATCTGTCCCCTATTTCTTTCTTCCCAGCCCATCCATACCATCCGTCCAATTCAACTATTCATTTCTTCCAGCCCATCCGTACCATCGTCCCATAAAACTGTTAATTTCTTCCCAGCCCATCCATCCCATCCGTCCCTTTCTAACCATTCTTTCCATCCCATCTCATTTATCCCATCTCATCCTTCCTATCCATCAATCCCATTCGGTCATTCCTGTCCATTCAACCAATCCTGTTCCATCTGTCCAGGGAATAGGGATAAAGGGAAAGGAAATGGCGCTGGTCTGCCATGAGAAAGCCAGTCGCACTACTTTGCAGACCAGTACGGTAACCTTACACACACTCTTTTGGAACAGACACACATAATTACAGTCAAGGAAGTTGCAGAACAATGTTGTCAATTATAAATAAACTTGAATAACGAGTAGTTTATTGTAAACTTTAATCAAATTATAATCTTTGCATGAAAATTTAGCTTATAGTGTTGACTTAAATATGTAAATAATAAATTACGTGCATATTAAACAATAAACTTATTTTTAAGTTAACAATTAACAATAAACAAATGTACTCTCCAAGACTGTACGAATACCGAGATTCTTACGTACTGTATAAACCTACAGTACACACCTTTGGTACGGTAACCTTACACACACTCTTTTGGTACACACACGCACACATGACGTTTCCGCCCCCTGCATCTGACCCATCCATCCCATCCATACCTTCTCATCCATCCCTTCTCATCCATCCCTTCTCATCCATCCCACCTCATCCATCCCATCTCATCCATCTCTTCTCATCCATCCCATCTCATCCATCCCTTCTCATCCATCCCTTCTCATCCATCCCATCTCATCCAACCCTTCTCATCCTTCTCATCCATCCCATCTTCAAACCTGTGATTTAACACTATCATCCACAAGGCCTCCTATGACATAAACCTTCTTTGGATCCAGATTTTGAAGAGTATTCTCCGCATCTGGAGAGAGGTAAACTAGATCCTTAGAATCAAACAACTCCGTTACTGGGTTCTCCTTGAAGTTGATGATGTAACTCCTGAACCCATCAACCTTCGCACAGCAGGTCCTGTTGATGAGTCCATCCTCCTGCAAAAATAATCTTAAAGAGAAATTGTAAGCGAATTTGCAAGTGACCCTCCATGCAAAGATGACATTGTACGATTTTACAATGGTACACGGAAAAGTTTTGTGTGATCAAGTATAAATTAGATATCCATTATCTATGTTTTGTTTTTTAAATCGTTAATTTTCATTTGCGATTTCTCTGCAAAAGTAATTTGCGCATTTTCCTGCTTATGATAAGCGATGGAGAAATTATCAGAATTAAAGACTTGTCGAGACAGAAAAAGGACATCTTTCAAGTTTTCGATCAGATTAAGATTTCAAGGGTACCGTTGTAAATCGGATTGTAATTTTATTAAATGGGACAATACAATATTCTTGGATAAACCCCATGTATTAAATCTAAATAAGTTATAATGATGTGTAAAATATAAAAATCTACAAGAAACTAGGTCTTACCAAGAAAAAATGTCACTTATATGCTTTGGAACACAACGGAAATCAAAGATCATGAAAAAGTGATTTAAAAATTCAGGGGAAATCAAAACTGTACTTAAGTTTAAAATAACCTGAAGGTTTGTGAAGAACAAATTAAATGGTCGTTCGGAAGTTTTATTAGCGCTGTATACACGCTTCAACTGGTTTGATAAGTGATTTACTTCCTAAAACATAACAATATTTGAACTAATCACTCATCCTCTTAGTGAAAGAGGTTTTAGTTTTTTCATTTGTAAGAAAGCCCATTCAAGGTTTTCATAATTATGTCAAGTCTAAATTTTAAAGCAATTTCAGATGATAAAATTGGTAATTTGATATGTATGAATACTTAATATAAATTAATCTAGGGAAAAAAAATACCTTTTCATTCATATAATCCTCATATCTTAAATCAATGCACACCTAAAAAATTATTTTTCAATAATTTCAATAAATATTTCTAAAACTTAAATCAGGAACTTCCCAAAGAATTCCAATAATAAGGATTCAAAAAAGTAATGTGTTGCGATTTAATTCGTCAATCAATTTACTTAATTGCCCAAAATTAAAAATCCTATTCCAAAACGTGAATCGCTCTGTAGACTGTAGAGTGAAACTAATTACAAAGGAATAATAATCATAATAATAATAATCATAATATTATTTTAGTTCTACTTTAATATTGGTATTCTGAGCTTCTTTCAATCTCTCCAGTTGTTCCTGTCTTATAACATCCTATAAGTAAATTCATAAGGTTAAAGATATAAATAAGACCTAGAAAACAAAGAACTTGAACGAAGAAATACAATATCTGCATTTTAATAAGGATGGATTCAAACTAAATCTAGACCACAAATATGACTAAGCCCATTTGAAAGTTGGATTTAAAGTTAAATAGGAAGAATAGGACTAACTTGATGGAT